AATTAAACATATATCCAAACTCCTAGCCAGTCTTAAAAAATGAATGTGGCAGTAAATGGCTCAAGTCATGTCAAATACATAGGGCTAAATGTGGATATTAATTATATAACCAGAGGGACTCAATTTACTTTATAAAGCAATTAAAAGAAGACAGAAACTTACAGTCTGTTTCTGGAAAAGAGTAATGTCTGTTTAAAAATAACTTCCTACCCAGAATAGCCTGCCTGTCTCACATAGCATCAATTGGGGTGGTGGTGGGGGGAAACCCAGGCATTACAGCCCTGCTTCTTTATGGGAAAATCAAACCCAAGTTTTAAAACAATAAAAGTTGTCAGTTAGGTGCCCAGATCCACATTTAGGCATGTAAACAAAGGATTTGCTTTTCAAACTGGCTGGACAGCACATTAAAATTTAGCTTCCCCTTGTGTTTATTCTCCATGGGCACGTTAAGGCAATGAAAGAGGCCTGTGTTCCTGTGGACAGGTTTAAGGAGGTAGAGGGTTCGTTTTTTTTAATATAGAGTACAGCTTAATATTGCTCTGGATTATTCTAGTAGTCTGGTAGTCTGTTGCTTTTTTTTTTTTTTTTTTTTTTAAATGTATTTCTTGCTTCAGAGCAGATAGGCAAGGATTCCTTTCAAGCATATTAATCAGAGCTGGAGTTTGTTCCTATATCCATAAGCGTGGTAGATCTGTATGAAAACTTCATTAACCTAAAGCACCTGCTCCAACAGGCATCCTGATGGAACATTAGTGTATTCTTGGATACTTCACTGCACTTTAGTTTTGCTTTGAGTGGTATTCATAATACCCTCTTCTTTACAGTGCACCCTCTGCAAATACCATTGAGTGATCTGGACCCAGCTGTCAGTGAGAGCATCATACCTGTTCAGGCCAATAGTCGCAGCATCCATCCCTCTCTGCCTCCTGGCTGGACAGAATACCAGGATCAGACATCTTCAAATATCTACTGGTGCACCGTCTTCAAAGCAGTGTAGTCAGGTAGACAGAAAGGAATGCAACAAGACTTGTCCTCACATGACTTACAATGTTCACCCTTCATAATCACTTTAGAAATCAGCTTCTAGCAATGGGCTAAAAAAACTATGGCAGCTACTTTTGTCTTCAGAGTATAGCACATCATCAAAACTTCTGATCCACCTTTTTTTTTTGTTAGCCTTATTTAAATATATTGGAAAGAAATGCATGTTTGGTTGGTCTAGTCAATACTGCACTTAATTATTCCTTCTTCCAGTAGTAACATGCTTTAAGATTTTCTGTGACGTTTTCCCCTCTGCCCTGTTGTAAATGAGACTACAGTGGGATTTACAAAAAGAAAGATTTTAATGCATACAGACATGACAGCAGAAAAAGGAGCTGAGGTTGTGTTTGCCTTGATGGCTTATTTCAAAACCATAGTGAGAAAGAGCTTCAAAAACCACCTGAAAACTCTCTGAGAGACAGCATTTGGGAGCCAGGGGCTATTACCTTTATACTTCAGTAGAATCTCTTTGCTTTTACGTCACTGTTTCTAAAGTAAAAAAAGAAGTTGAAGACAGGGAGAAAGAACATCAATTGAGTGCCTTTCTCAGGCAAAATTTTCCTGAAACTAGAAAGTTCATATAAATGAGGACTTCCAGACATGACAGCAAGAAACTTTTAACTCTTGTATGGCAACTTCAAAATCTTTTGGTCAGAAAGGATGGGGTCGTACGCTGAGGCAATCCATGGCAACACAAATAGCTACGTTTCCATTCTCTTCAATGAGTTCGATATGCTCTAGGTGATGTCACTGTCAAGGGTGAGCATCAAACACCCATTACATCATTCACTTTGGTATGCAAGCAGGGTTCTTGATTGCATTTTCAAATGTGGCTGAGCCAGTAACATATTACCTTCACTCCAAGAGCACTTATATATCTATATCTATCTGTCTTTTAAGTATCTTATTTTTCTTTAAAAGGCCTTCACTTTTTAAAAAATAAATACTAATAAAATACACTTAGAAAGGGAGAACGTGTATCTGCTTTACTGCTTTAAAACTGAATTCCTTCCCAAATTCTCCACTCTTGTTCATCTGCACTTTCTAGCAATAAAAGACAAGTGAAATCCTGATTCTAAAAACATCAAATTATGTCTATCCTGGGTGCTTTAGTATGCTTAAGTCTAAATGCATCCTGCAGCTGTTTCATTTGGTTTTCAGATGAGTGCAACCTAGCACATGTGCCAGAAGACAGCCACTCTGTGTTCTAACACCTACCCCATCTGGACAAAAAGGGAAGGAAAAGTGTGGGGTATACTGCAGATTCCACCTATCTGGAAGTCCACATTCCCATTAACATGAGCAAATCAAAACTAATTAGCTTCTCTGTGGCTGTCCTGACAAATTTTTAAAGGACAAAGAATTTTTTAAAAAAGTTCTCCGCTGTTCACTGTATAAAGGTACACAAAGGCTTCTTCATTGCATACAGGAAACACAGCTAGAGGCTCCCTCTTGTGCAAGTGTCTGATTCCCAGATTTACTTTTTCTAATTTGAATTCCAGATCTGCATGGTGATTCACTTTCACAGCAGTCAAAACAAAAAGTCTGTAGCTTTATACCACAGTAAAGAAAAAAAAAGCATTAATATATCTATCTTATCTCCAGTTTATTTAATACCATAGCAGTAAATACAGATAAGAGTTCTCGAATCTGGCAATGCTAGAAAATGCTGGAAAGCTGAAGGGTGTACATGAGTAGTTTTCAAGTTCAGTCTCATAGATATTGACAATACAGTTAAATGTACTACTGATATGGCAGAGCAGCATCTGCATAGAAATAAAGCAACATTGTGCCTGTCAACACTGAGAACTATATTCCAATAGTTGTAGTTTTAAAACAAGTGAAATAAACAGTATCTTTTCCTTAAAAAAGGAAGTGATCTTTGGTCAACACTTATTAAAATGTGCTTTAGTTTTATTTTACAATATTAATGCTAAGATTATATAGCTTTTTTACGTTATCCTATGGGGGTGAACATTTGAAATCAGTATTCTGCTGTGACTGATAATCTTCCTAGTCTCAATGCAGGTAAAATTTCAGAGCAGAGGTAGGCTTCAACTCAGCAAGGTACAAAGACTGAATCCCAGCTGTCCTCTGGAATGGGTAGGAGGCAGTAACTCATCTTCAGATCACTTCTCTTTCATAATTTCTACATGACCACAGCACTTTCAAACACGCTGGGCTAAGCCCTTATTTAGTTAAGTCTACAGTAAGAGCTCTGAATGTCAACTGACGACATATTTAGACTCATCTGATGTTTAATATCCACATTTGAAAAGTGTAGCTAACATATTCCTTAGTGCTCTCTCAAGTGGCACTTCAATACCATAGCAATGACTAGTTGTAAAGACATTGGTCCTTAGGAGAAACACCCTATGCAAGTCAGGAGCACAGGTCTACCAGCACGCTGACCTTTAAATCCAGGCAGACACCCTAAAGAACTTGTGCTCTTTTACCAGTCCATGTGCTTTTCAAGCTTCCATCTAAAATTGAACAGGCACATCCACCTTACAGGTGAGGAAACTTTGTTACAAGTCCACAAAAACTGCTCTGTGAAAGCCCAAGATGTTACACTGGCCTTACACCTGGGCCTAGCCATAAAATTGTTTCACTAAACAATGACCTTACCAAAACAGTCCAATGCTTACTGACTAACATTTCACTAACATTTCAGTTCTCACCCTCCTCAACCTTGTCCACTTTCTTTCATCACTCAAAAAAAAAAAAAAAACAAACCCAAACCAAAAAACTGAAACAGAAGACAATAGTGCTTTGTTTATCTGCTTCCCTACTTCTGGTGCCTCTGCAAGGCAGCTTCGCAGGTAAATATCTTTTGTAGATTTGGTGTCTAAGCATTTAATTCATATGAATTTCAGCAGGTGTTAGGCACCTTTAGGCACACAAGGATCTAAGCCATCTTTCCTCGAGTTAAATACAAATACGCTATTACATACAGCAGCAGTATTCTGCTTTTCTTTAGTGCAAGCGTTCTTGCACAGAAAAACCACCACCCTACTTCTCAGAGTTCTGAAGTAAGATTTTGATCAGCAAGGCTGAGTTTATGGGAAATAACTGTTTATACTTCAGTCGCACCTAGAAGCCCTATCCAAGACCATGTTGGTGTTTAATAAATACAGACTAAAACTCTCTTCTGAAGAACTTATGAGATAAAGGGTGAGAGGAGCATCTTAAGAGTTTAAGTGACGTAGCCCTAACACAGCAAATCTGTAGTAGAACTGGAAATAGAAGGTCAGGTCTTCTAGGTCTAGACCCTGTCTGCTTGACCATACTATCTCCCACCTTTGGTTTCTACTGTCTTACTCCGCCAGACACTGACCTTTCGAGGAAATTGACTGAATCCCAAGAGCTGCCTGTGCTCCATTATTTCATCTTATTCCTCCTTCAAGACTAACCATCTTTTACACAGATTTCCTTCTCTTTCCAAACACATTGTTGATTAACTTGGCCATTGACTTTGATCCGCTTGGTCGTCTCTTTTCCTTCACTTTGAAATTTGATGTGATATTCCTCAGGACTTTCATGAACATTGCCACAACTTCCTGATAATGTTCTGCTGCAGACAGTTCACAGAACTGGCACTTGTTATCCATTGCCAGCTTCTGCCCTTCATCCCAGCCAACTTCCCTCATGTGGCATAAATCCTGTTTATTACCAACCAGAAATACTGATGACTCGACCATCCTGAAATCAAAAAGGTTCCAATTAGAGAAAAGATACGTTACAATACTGTGCTGTATGCTGTGCTATATACAGTGTGTATGAAAAGTATGTATGTTCAGGATAATAGGCATTGAAAAAAAAAAAAAAAAAAAAAAAAAAAAGAACAAACCGATCCCCTAACCTTGCCAGGTAGAGTCCTAGTTTTCCATTTGCCATAGTCAAATGTCAAATGATTTTCTAGACAAGCTATTCTCTATCAGTAAGTTTTCATTTGGTTCTTCTACTCAGTGAATTCATGTATTTTTCATTCACTGCAGTTTTCATACTCCATACTGCTGTGTATATTGTCAGCTCGTGGGCTTCATGAAGAAGCAAGCTGATCATTATTTCCATTTGTAGATAAAAGAATAGAGTCAAAGAGATGCATCAGTGGCACAATTCAGAAGACGACACAGAAATCCTAATTCCAAGCTTTTGCTAAAATTACTCCTTCCAGAGAAACCTTAATTAAGAAAGGTCAGCAGTAAAACAGACAGAAAAGTATTGGGTTTTTTATTTTACTCCACTTCTGATACAAGGAAAGGATTTCACTCATTTATTTAGAAAGCACCTCAGCTGACTGATGCAGGAATACACACCACCACACACACTCAGACTTGCAATTTTGGTGGTTCTTTTTGAAAGTAAGTAGTTTGTTTCTTACCATACGGTCACCCATGTGCACAAGTAATGTTGAGGTCACCACAAAGGCAGTTTAGGAGACATTCATGGTATTAGATTCATTTATTGTGGGAAAGGCTTTCTTCAGCTCCCACATTGGTGCATGTCCATTGGTAACAGAGTGGGGGAGTAAAAGCACAGACTGACTGTGCCGGCTTTTTACCCATGTAAATCACAGCAGACAGATTTATGGCAATTATTTAAATAGTAGTGCTGTAAGAAATAAGAATAAAAATCCTGATGTACTTGGCTTTGGATACAGTGAAATAGATTGCAATTTGCAATACAGTCTACCTTCAGGCACCTTATTGTTGGTATTGCATTATGCCACTAGGACTGTGCTGGATTTTAATTGTTACTAGGATGCCTACAGCTCACAGAAATGTTCTCAGCTTTTTTGTATGTTTGCTGAGGGAAACAAAATAATGCCACTTACTTTTTACAAGCTCCTATGTGAGACTCTCGGATCCTGTACAGCAATGCTTTTGCAAATGCAAATGATGCTCTGTCACTGATGTCGTAAACAATGATAAATCCATCAGCCCAGTGGAGCTCATCTGTGAGGGAAAGTTTCCCCCGCTGTGGCTGAAAGAAGTTCAAATTCGCATGCAAAAAGAATGTTATATTGTTACTTCAGAGCATTTTCTTTATCACTGCAAATGTGAGAGTGTTGTATCTTTTCTTGCAAAAGATATTAATAGGTCTAGGTGCTGGCACTGAATTCAGGTGAGTCCTGCTCCAAAAGACTAATAACCAACCATCACTACAGATGGCACTTTGGATCATTGACAAATTCATTATGAAACTTTTACGCTTTGTTTAAGTGGTAAAATTGCATAACCTGAACAGCCATTATTTATGCTGAATATTCTGCAGTTACAGGAGAATGAAATGTACAGGACCCACCAGTATCTGTGCTGTTTCTGATTATAGCTCTGTTTTGCATGTTCCTAATATTCTGACTGCAGTGAGCTTAATTTGTTAAGAATTCCTTGGTTCCACTTATTTCTTCTGTTTCTTCTTTGCATTGTTCAAGTCTGAAACAGTATTTATCCATAGGATAAATTTCTACAGGGCTAGGAAAAAAAAAAAATCTTTCAAGCTGCAGTTGACTTTAATAGAACTGGAGACAAAAGTCACGCAAGTGATAATGGGGTTGTACCAGTCCTTGAGTCCCTTCAACCCAAGAAAGCGTCACACTTTGCTTTCTAGAAAGCAACAGCTGCAAACTGTCCCATTAAGCTAAAGAATGCTATTTCAAAACTATTTTACATCAGCTTATCCCTGCAGATGATTTGGCAGCAGCTAGCAAGACCATGTGACCCAAGATAGGTAAAATACTGAAAGCTGCCCAAAAAAAAAAAAAAAAAAAAAGAAAAAGAAATCAACTTTTCTCTGTGGAAAACCCATCTTGGATAGTAATTTGAGGTCTGTTTAGGTTGTTCCGTCATTAGTTTACTATTTTGCTCCTTGCAATGTACAGCCTCCACCAACACCCCACCGTGGTTGCCTTGATTAGCTCAGCATCAGGGCAGCACTGTAGCATCGTAAACAGCCATACTGGGAAGGCTGTAACTTACCATGAGGGATGGTAACTGAATGCTGGCAGTGAAAGGAGATGCATAAGACAGAAAAGATGAAACAGGTTTCCAAAACTATTTGAATACTTCAGTATCTTTAATACAACTTTTTTAATATTGTGGTGACTGTGCAGCAGGTTTAGCTGCAGGAAAGGTGACTCGTGTGTCACAGCTGTTTCCCAGATGGATCATAGAATATCTCAAGTTGGAAGGGACCCATAAGGATCATAGAGTCCAACTCCCTGCTCCTGGCAGGACTACCTAAAACTAAATCATATGACTTAAGCATTGTTCAGATGCTCCTTGAACTGACAGGCTTGGTCACTTCCCTGGGGAACCTGTTCCAGTGACCCACTGCACTCCCAGTGAAGAACCTTTTCCTAATGTCCAATCTGAACTTCCCCTGACGCAGCTTCATTCTGTTTCTTTGTGTCCTGTCGCTGGTCACCAGAGAGACGAGATCAGAATCTTCGCCTCCACTGCCCCGCTTGAGGAAGTGGTAGACTGCAATGAGGTCACCCCTCAGCCTTCTCTTCTCCGAGCTGAAGAAGTCAAGTGACCTCAGCTGCTCCTCCTAAGTCTTGCCTTCGAGGCGTTTCACCATCTTGGTCACCCTCCTTTAGACACAGTCTGATAGTTTGATGTCCTTCTTATATTGAGGCACCCAAAACTGCGCACAGTACTTGCTGCACCAGTGCAGTGAAGAGTGGAACGATCACCTCCCTTGACTGGCTAGCTATGCTGTGCTTGACACACCCCAGGACATGGTTGGCCCTTTTGGTTGCCAGGGCAGACTGTTGACTCATACTCAACTTGCCATCAACCAAAACCCCGAGATCTCTTTCCACGGGGCTGCTCACCAGTCTCTTGTCCCCTAGTTTCTACGTATAACCAGGATTACCCCATCCGAGGTGGGGAATCTGGCACCTGCTCTTGTTAAATTTCATAGGGCTGTTGATTGCCCAGCTCTCTAGTCTATCCAGATCTCTATGGATAGAGATCCTACCTCTACCCTCAAGGGAATCCACAACTCCTCCTAGTTTAGTATAATTGGCAAACTTACTTAGGTGGAAATAAGTCCACAGAACAGTAGCTTCTAACAGATTGTACGGCAAGGAAGGACTCCATAGCGTAACATGGAACAGTGGCTATTTCAGGATCCCCATGCCCTGGGACAAGCAACGCTGTTGCTTGTCTCTAGGAAGGCTGATTTGTTTGGTGGTTTATTTTATGTGCTCTCTGGGTTAAGTTTTTAAGTCCTTGAATTTAAGTCTGAGTTCAACTTTCAGTGCTTTGGCTTTATCATTCATTATCCTAGCTGGTATGAGGCAAGATCACTGCCCAAAAAGGAACCTTGCGACCTAATGCTATTAACCAGACAGACCTGCCTAGGTCTGCATGTGTTACACAGTACCAAAGTTTCTCTATTCCTGTAATAGCAGGAAAGAAATTAATACTAAAAGCTTTATTACAAAGTGGTTTACTGTGATCAAAGTTCAGCTGTCAGCACGTACAAGCCTGCATTATGCCTTTCGTTGGATCTGTTCTGCAAATGCAAGTCTTACTTCCAAGGCCTATCTACTTTGACTGTTTCTGCAGACATTTAATAAACTGCTTGCTTTATAAGCTAAATTTCATCCATTTAGGGCATTGGAGAAAACTGCATATAATCCTATAACTTATCTCTCTATTTACCTATATAATGCAGAAGTGGGAAAAGTTATTTTTGTTAAAATCATAGAATCATCAAGGTTGGAAAAGACCCTTAAGATCATCGAGTCCAACTGTTAACCTATCATTGCCAAGTTAGAAATATTCCAAAAATGCAAAAGCATTTACAGAAAATTTAAGCAATGAAGGGCTTCTTCCATGAAACAGGAAAGTACTCAGCAGTGCTGAGCCACAGCAACTATAAAACTTCAGTCTTAAAAAAAAAAAAAAAAAACAAAAAAAAAACAAAAAAAACCCCACCAAACAGCAAACACAAATTCCAAGAACCAGACAGAAAGGCTGTAACTCCCCAACTTTTACCATTACACAGGTAGAATGAGGAAAAGCCTTTTTCTGCCCTCTAAAATTCTTACCTGTGAACAAGGGTCGTAAATTTCCAAGTGTATCTGCCTCCCATCCAGGCATAAGTGTTTAGTGTAGATGCATTCTAAAAGATACATGACATTCAAAGAAAACCAACATTAGAGTGACTGGATACGGTGGTCAAAAGAAAAGGTGGCAAAGGTGAGATTCACTAATACCGAGGGGACATTTAGTTCCTTGGGTTGGGTTTTGGGTTTTTTTGTGTTCGTTTGTTTTCGGGGTTTTTTTTGACAAACCTGGAAACAAACCTTTTTCATTTCACAACACCTGAGCTGCCCAACACTACTTCACTGTGCTGTACCCATGGAAGTGTTGGTGCAACGAATACTTTTAGACCCTAGTTTTCCTCTTCCAAAATGGAGGCAAAGGGCATGCACAATGCTCAGAATCGGCTAAATGCTGATGACTACTCAGCTTGCTACCAAGGTTCAGGATTATGAAAGTAGTAAGCCAGCCTATGTGTAAGTTCCAATTCTGCACAAAAGTCATTATTTGGTAATAATGTTTATTTACTATGAAATCTGGTGCTTTAAGAGTTCTCATGCTAGGTAGCATTGGATCAACAGTATTTACAGGATCATGTCCCTAGACTAGATCTTAGAATATTTCTGTAGTGTCAGTTCTTCAGTTTAGGACTCTCCACCAGCTCTAGCAACCCTGGCAACTCTAGTGCAGACAGACCACCACTATAATTTTAAGCAGTGGGTTGTTCTAAGCAAGTGTAAACCAACTTGTGTTATGGTACTGGTCACCAACAAGCTGTCTACAGTATAATTCCTCACAGTGACTGACCTACAAAGACAAGAACTGATGTTGGCATTACTGAAAATACACTTCAAGCTGTATGTAATGAGGGCCTTAGATAAGGGCTATGGTCTCTGAGCATCTTCAGTTCAGCACCATGTTCTTCATGGATGTCTTGAGAGTTCATCTGATGATGAACTACGAGTCTCAAGCACCCCAGGGTATCAAATCTGCAGCTCCTTGGTGGTTTCCATAATTAAACAAATTTTTAATTAATACTTTGACTCCACTAAAAGCGTTTTAGAATGATCTTGCGTTTTGTCACTCCTATTCCCACTTTTCTCCTCTTTCCTCCTGTCTAGAAATAGAGCTAAACTTATCTTCCAACAAACACTTGTTTAAAAATGAAAGTGTTTTGGGAGTTTGATATACCTTTTCTGATACTTGCAGTATTGGAGGGCCAGAATAAAGAAACCTGTTTTTAGTTGTAGGTGGCTTTGAACACACATGGAGCACAGAGAGGACTACATAACTTACATGTGACAGCTTAGACTTAGATAAGCCATCTGGGACACAAACTGTCTTTGCAGTCTGTGTTTGTATAGTAACAGCATTGGTAGAGCATTTATGTACACCTATAACTACTTTCAGAATAAGTTCATCTGGATACATTCAATGCAATTCAGCTTAGTATTGCTATTTTTTTTTTTATTTATGGATCATGGAACGCTATTCTGACTTTTGTAAAAAGAGGCTTTTTGAAAAAGTCTTTCACTCTAGCAGTGAAAGTGAGGTAAATAGCAATCTCCTTTCCTTGTTAAGTTTTGGGACTTCTTGTGCCCCATCAGCTGGAGTAGCACACTTCCAAAGGTGTTCACATATCAGTTAAATAGTGCTTCTACTTGGAACGTGAAAGTTCAAGTCCTGCTTTGCCATCTTCCAAGATCTTAGAAGTGTGTTAAGGATCAGTGTATTTGTTCTGGCATGAATAAAAAGTTTCTATCCTCAGCACGGTGAGACTTTCCACAAAGCCATCAAATCAGCGCGTTCCTGCAAAAGCAGGGAGCTTTGCATTATGCTTTGATTAACCACTAGTGCCCGATAAACAATCAGTTTCACCTCTCCTCTAGAGCCGAGGAGGAGATATTCAATAAAACAGGTGTTGCTTCTTTTCTTTTTTTTTTTTTGTCCCCAGTCTATTTCTTTACTCTCTCCTTTATCTCCTCTCTGATTGAGCGTGCTATAATCTACCCGCGCTTCGCACAGGCAGCCCGGTTATCTTTCCTTCCCAAGTCCCTTCACAGCTGCTTGGCGACGAGAGCTTCGCCAGCCCCCCCGGGCGGGCGGCCGCGCTGCTGGAGTTTCGAGCGATCGCTCCACAGATACAGGCTCGCCCCTTCCCGTCTTCAGAGCCCATACTTAATCAGGAGCTCTCGCTGATAAGCCAGCGAAAACTTACATCCTTCCGAAAAGTTCTGGGAAACTGCGTTTCTACCCAATTCCTTGTCCAAATAAGTGTCTGAAGCGTCGCATCTCGCGTTCCCCGGGAACCCGCACGGCGCGGCCCCGAGCGGAGGCCCCACACGGCGCCCGCCTCCCCCC